CGCCACCTTAGAGCCGGCCTGGGCGGACGCCATGCGTCGGTCCCTTCACCCAGGCGGCTGTAAAAGTGGAGTTGTGCGAGGGTGTGCCGGCGAGGATCTGACTGCGAGGACACACCCACCCACCGCGCCCCCACCGCCCAAACACACACACGGCTGTGACGGGCACGCTCCCGTCGTCCAGGGCGGCGGTTCTCAGGCTGCGATGTGGTTCCGGCCCGGCGGCATCCTCCTCCTCCTCCTCCTCCTCCAGGGACTTGTTAGGAGGGCAGCGAAGCAGAATCGCTGGGGTGGGGCCCAGCGATCCCTCTTTGAACCGGCCCTCCAGGTGGTTCTGATGCACACGAGTTCGAGAACCTGCAGGTCACGGGCCGGGAAACCGGACTCGCCAGGTTTACGGTCGTCAGTACTCCCGGTTGCCATCAGACGGTGCACCCTTCACGAGGTCACCCGAACTTCCCTGGCGGTAGCGGGCGAGAGACGTCCCCAGCGCTCAGTCCGAGGCCAGGGGCTGCAGAAGACAAGCAGCCCCTTCTTCTAGGCTTGCAGCCCAGGGCAACAAGGCGGCCAGTGATCCCCTCCTGGGGGAGCCCCCAGGGGAGGTCAATGAGCCCAAGAGCCATGCAGAACTAGCCCCCGAAGCAACACTTACCCGTACACATCTGCACATTTCCCCCAACTCTCCGGCAAAGCGAACTGCTCTCGGCGGAGGAGGTGAGAAGGTGGTGGAGGAGGTGAGAAGGTGGTGGAGGAGGTGAGAAGGTGGCCGGACGTCTGGGGCTTCTGGACCGTCCTGGGGCAGGACACGAGGAGCCGCTGATTCCCCCGCCTGCTGTCTGGTGCACTAGCAGCCGCCTCAGGACTTGGTGCACGGAAGGGCTGTGCACACAGGTTGCTCCAGCTCCTAACCCTCACCCCCTGCTACATGGGTAGCTGGCGGTGAAGCTTCTCTGAGTCTCCCCTTGGGGGCAAACTCATCTTCCAAGATTCCCCAGTTGACGTCCAGACGCAAAGCCACACACTCTTGTTAGAAAACTTTAATGTGATTTTTAAAGGAATCTCTGGAATGGCGTGTGTTTGAACGCTGTATCCCTTTGCCATCCCCTGTCCCCAACCGAGAAACAAGGTGTATACCGCCAGTTGGGTGATCCACTGTAATTTTATTTCAAACCGTGATAGACAGATTGTGTGAAAAACAAGGAATTCCAAAGAATTTCCTGCTCTGGGAACAGAAGTTAAATCTATATTTAACAACATTTGAAGCTGTCAAGAATGCTTTGTGGTTGGATAACAGAGGCAGAAAAATGTTAAAAACGCAGGCTACTGCTATACCCAAATATGGAAATATTGTTACGTCTGGTGTCTGATTCACCATCTGGAAATACTTACAACCATGAAGTCAAATAGAAAAGACGCCACAACAGAAGCCAGGAACCCTCCTCTCTGTTCTCTCTCTCTCTCCCACTGCCTCCTCCATCCTGTACCGTTCCTACTCCCCCACCCCCGGTCACTCCATGAAGAAGGAAACAATAATGAAACGCTAAGGCAGGAAAAATGCCCCCTACCTCACAATTGATGCGTTAGCCTGTGTACAGCGCAGGGCCCAGGCTTTCCTCACTTTATTTGCACAAGCCCTGACAATGCGTTGCCTTGAAAAGTCTCCCTCCAACAGAGCCTGGGGATCACACTCCCTCTTATGAAAGGCACTTCTGAATGAATGAACCTTAACTCTTTCCTGCCACAGCGCTCTTCCTCAGAGCGTGTTTTCATTCCCATAACGTCTCATTGTGGTCATTAGTCCTCCACAGCAAAGGCAACCCTGAGGCCTCCTTCAGCAAGACTGCTAAAGTATGAAGCCTGAACAGCCCTAGACATTAAAAAGGCCGAGCAGTTATCTTCAAGTATATAAAAAGGGGGAGCCTGGCAAGGCAGCTTGCACATATATATTTTTAATTGATATTACACACGAAGATGGTTTTTGAAACTTTCAGGGAAAGTTTATCCATCACACGAATGACGTGCTACCCGCGTGAGTGCATGGCAGGTAGAAGAGGATCTTAAAATCTGCTGACATTGGTACCAACGCATACTACATCCTGAATCTCTTCTCTGTACTTGGAGAGAAGGGCATCGCAATTCACGCGAAGTGGGAGACTTCCAGGGGGTCCCCAGGAAAGAAGTTTAAGACCCCGCAAAACTTCCAGCTGTAAGGAGCCAGGAGTCCGCGGCTTCCGGAGATTCATGGAGCATGAGGGCACTGGGATCTGGCTTGGCCGTGAGGTATTTGCAGGTGATGATTTCAGGCCAGAGCGCTCCGCGGTGGGCCCCTCCGCTTCTGGCTGGCTGCGGGGCTAGCATCGCTTCCCGCCCGCGGGGGGAGGCTGGAAGGGCTCACCCCGTCTGCCGCGTCCGCGAGGAAGTCTAAGCCTCCCGAGAACTCCTTGCGTTCGTTTCCTCTCGGTCTTCCAACCCAGGCAGCGGGCTGGAACTAAAATGGGAACCTCCAAAAACAAACAAGTACAACATACCAAGGGGGGGGTGGCGAGGGGGGAAGACCTCTGCCTGGGAATCTGCCAGACGGTGGGGAGAGTTCTCCTCCCCCTTCTCATTCATAAATGCCACTGCGGGGATCAACTGCAATACTCTTAACTTGGCTCATAAGTATCACGCCAGGCTTTGGGGACTCGGACCGAACATGCCTCCTTGAGGTCCACAGGTAGTGCTGGCCCAGAGACACACTCTCCCTCCCCGCTCTGCTCTCTCAAGAGATAACTGGACTCTCACCTTCGCTGGAAACAAGCAAACAGCTCTGCTCCTTCCCCGGGCGAGGGCTTCGTGGCTGCCGGGTCAACTCGCATCACCAGACAAAACGACTTTTGTTCCTCCCTCTCGGAGCGGTCCTCCCACCCTCCCGGTCCCGGCAAAGTTCTGAACGGGGCCCCCGGCCCCCCGTCCGCCCCTCCCCACCCTCGGGGTCCCCAAAGGGCCCTCCCCGACAGAAGTCGTTATTTAGGTGGGGGGCGGGGGGGGACGGGACTGTTTTCTTGACGGATCTGGGACCGACCAAACAACAAAAAAAAAGGTGCAATGGAGCCAGGGGAGGCGCTTGGCAGCAGCCCGCGCCAACCCGCATTCCTGAGATGTTTGAGAATTCTGGAACGCGCAGACAGCGCCGACGTCACTGCAACACGCGGCGCCTCCGCCGGCCGTATAAAAGGCGGGCTCCCGGCGCCGGGGCAGACCGCGAGCGAGAGCGCCCCGAGCAGCCCGCGCCCTCCGCGCCGCGCCGGCCGGACTCGAGCGAAG